CTATGTTTCTGTGGGAACCCAAGGGACAAAAAAAATGATAGTAAGCCACACAAATGCTAAATATTTTCAGTCAACTGAAAAGTAGTTTCTTTATAATTCTGCCTAACTGCCTTGTCTTTTGTCTAAATTCTTAATTACCGGATGTGAGTACGGTAATGTTGAATGGATCACTAAATAAGAATTTAGTAAATCAGATATGTAGTGTATCTGGTTACTTCAGATACATTCCCTGAATTCAGTTATGTTTTTTTTAAACCTCTAGTTGTAACTGTGTTACTTGTTTTGCCTGTTACTGCAGTAGACTCAGAGTAAATTTCAAAATTTATCTAGTATATATCTGTATGTAACTTTCCAGTACTTCTCCCAGTACTTCAGAATTATAACCTCATTAATCTGAAGTTGTGTGTAAACAGAATTAGAAAGCATGTTTAAATAAGAGTAAGCAAATTCCGAAGATGTCTGGTTTTATTCTGTTCAGTTAACATTGATTGAAAAACATTAGTTTCCTTAAAACAATCAGAGGAAAAAAATAAGAAGACGTAATTTATCTGTAGCGTGTACTATAACTTCACAACACATTTCGAACAATTTGGTTACACGCCTATTTGTTAAAAATTTTGTTATGAATTAAGAATATGAAAAAAAATTTGGTGGGCAGGCTTAACTGAAGACAAAAGTAATGATGAAAATCATGTAAAAATAATACTACACCAAACACTGTTTCATTGCTGAATTTATGAAGAAACATTTAATGTGACCAGGAATTCTTTTTGAAAACATGAAGATGCCTCATATTTTTCAACACTTAAGACTTTGAAAAACTTGATTATCCATATTTAATTTTTTTGTGAATAAGTCAAAAAGATGCATTAACGTACGTCCTATGATTTATCTGAATGATACATTCTACGATGGAAGAATGTGGACATCCGTTATCATGGTTTATGGGTTCGACTGATTCAGTTTTTCAAAGTGACTTTGGAATATACTTCTAGTCTCTTAATTATACGAATCTATGAATCCCTCTGTGTGCTTTTCGCTATATGTACACTAAAGGTGGTAATTATAATGACATGCTGTAAAGGCTTAGAAGATTATCTAAGCGTGGTACTTTCTATTTATCTGAGATCAGCTGTATAACATGCTCTAACTACGGTGATAATAAATCTCTGCTTACGATTATCGCCATGAGAGTCATGTGTGTACGTCAGCTTGATAAGGACGTATATGTTGAATTTTTAAGAATGAAAGTATTCACTTGAGGTTTTCTGTACATTTCAAAATTCCGTTCAAACTGAATTCTGGTAGCAAGGACAAAATATCAAATTTTAAATTTTAAAAGAGACAAGTGGAGGAAACAGTCAGCTGTATAGCTTTGTTATACTTTCCACATATTTACGCAACTATCTGAAGGGGGATAACAAACTATGAATTCAAGTCTTACGTAATACTTTGCCACTGAGTGAAGAAGGTTTGAGGATTTATTGATTTCAAGTTTGGGATTCATCATGGACTGACACTAGTTGAAGAACCATTGGAAAACTGGGGGCACTGAACAGCTGACTCTTTCTCGTGTGGGACTGCTTAGAAGTGTGTGACCGTGGCTCAACTCTGGATAGAACTGAAAACCTTCAGGCTTCATGGCCGGCACGGTATTGTCAAGCCACTGGGTTGGAATGCAATGGTCTAAGTTCTTCCGCCTCTGTCGATTCGCAATATAGTGCAACTTTCATCCACTATCTTCTTTGAGTATTTTTCTTCGAGTCCAACTTGGTAAGCCCCACCGGTCGTGGTTTCTCATTTCGACTTCGAGAAACCTTGCCTCAAAGTATGTCACTAATGAATACTGGGCAATAATTCAGTTCGAAGAACATGAATTCATTGATTGTTAAGGTGGCTGACTTGTAAATGGTTGAAAAAGAAAAGCGCATAACCAAGTCTCTATTCAGTTCAGTTTCGCAACAGTAAGGTTACTTAAGTACGTATTAGTTTACTCGATATATATTACGCTCACCGAGAAATGATGCATTAATATGTTCGTATATATATATATATATATATATATATATATATATACATTTTTTTTTTCTTCGACAGTTAATCCTTTGATGTGGGATTCTTTTTATAGTTGACATTGTGGTCATTAGACTTAAGGAGTAGGAAACAAAAAGGTGAACTATTGCAGGAATATATTATTTATTGAGATGTTTATTCTTTTTGTCAGTTTTAAAAGATGGACATTTTACACACTTCAAATAGGTCAGAAATAATCCAGAAAACTCTAAGAAATGCTTCTTATGTATGTAAAACATGTACACACTTAAGAACATTTATTTCTGTACGGTTGTTATGTATCGAAAATCTCAGACGCCTCTCATGATTTCTATCATCTTGACATAAGAGCGGGAGGAAATTCTGTCACATTTTATCACGTTTATTTGACGGAGGGTTGCATAAATTGTTGATTTGTCGTTATTATTCAATGTTTACAAGATAAATAGGGCATACATTTATGCATTATACATATGAGAATAACAGTTTATCTCTGAGTTTACTTATGAGTAGCATATATAGAATGAACAGAAAATCATCTTTGCAAAATATCATCAGTGAACGAATTTCCACACACAGTCTCTTCGACTACATAAATAAGTAACATAATATGATCATACTTATAGTTTTATATTTGTATAGGCTAATTCCTTTTTATTTTAGAACGAACCCCATATACTAATTATATTTTAGTGTTTTACTTTTCTGTTTTACTCTGAATTCTGAATTATTTACGTTTTACCTCGTTAAATGTTTTTGGATCCTAGTTTAACTTTCACATCTGAAACAAATGTACCTATTGCCCAAGTTTTGAGAAGTAAAGTATAAACTACTAATCTGAGTTTTACTAAAAACAATTATTTCTGACATTTATGTTATACTTATTTTCATTTTCTACTTTATTTGCACTTCAATTTCCTTTTCCAATAATCTGTTCTACCATTTAACTCACTTTCTTATGAAAACGTTTGATATTTAAGAAGGTGCCTGTATTTTGTCAACGTCACTCATGACATAAGGTTGGCATATTTATTGGCTTATTTTACATTTGTTTCTACAATGCGATGTGAGTGTACTTTGAACGTGCCACGATGTTTAACCACATTTACACATTTATCTGATCTTGAATATCAATAGGAAATTTATTTTAAAAAACATTTTTATCATAGCATCTGGAGTTTTCAGTAACTATAACGACAATTATAACTTCAATAAGTGTAATTAATGCAATTAAAAAACTGTATGACAGTATTTCATGGTTTACCATGGATTTTTCTATCATGGCCACTTCTGATGCTTTGTATATTTCACTATTTCTAATCAATTGGAATTTTATAAGCATCAAATTTCCTAGTACATTTGTGCTTCTTTCCTTGCTCTAATTTGAATTTTTTTGGTAGGATATTATTCATTAGTAAACATAAACATACTATGGGTATTATTCAGTGGTCTGTGTCTCAGTAACGCAAATAAATAAGGTTAAACTTCGGGAATATAGGTATTTCAACAAATAGTAAAGTAATTAGGAGAATTGGTCCTCATATTCTAAATCATATGTCTTGATTTCTCTACTTTTCAAAATGTTATGATAAAATCAAACATAATCATCTGTTTTTACATGGGCTAACTGGGAAAGGAGCTAAAATTGATGAAGGCTACTGTCTGACAGTTACATGTTATTTAGACACTGCTGACATTTGTTACTGCTGTCTCATACTTGACATTATACAGAAAGGGTGCAACATATATACAAATGTTGGAATAGTTTTGTTTTCTCCCAATTAAATAAAGGTCAATCTTGTCAATGAAATGGCTTGAAATTGAGGAGTTACAAAGGTGAGTGTTTACAGAAATATATTGTTGCTTACTTAGCATGCAACAGTTTCTTTAATACTATCCTCAACACTTATTTTTTATCCATTTTTATTGAACCGTTCAGTATTATCTTTTCTAAAAGAACGACCTTAGCAAACCACTCAAGGTAGAATTTATTCATAGAGAGTTTGCATAAAATAGTTGCTGCCTTTACATCTACGAAGTTAATTTTAAGCCGTTTCAGGTAATGAGTTTTATCGTTTAATGTCTTGAGTTATTTGTTACAAAACTATATCGATCTTGCGATGAGAAAACGTATGAAATAAAAGTTACACGTTCGACCTTATTTAATATGGGGGTAATCTTCTCAACCAGAGTAAATTATGGAAAGATTGAAAATCATTGCTCCATGGCTTTTACCTGGTTGTAATTAATGAATGAGAGAGATTTGTTTGTAAATTTCAAATATTGAGAACACTAAAAACCGTAAGGATCAAAGTGTAATGCTCGTCATCTAGGTCTAAATGTTGACGTTTGATGATTTGGTTGTATGGTAGCGTGTTCTGTTAAGCAGTTGTTAACATACTATTTTCAATAATTTATCAAGGCAACTACATCTGAAATATATTGATAAATATTTTCTCCCGACAAACAACACTAATACATTTATTGATCATATCTGATCAAGTGGAACCATAATCATTTAGTGAAAACAGTACACTAGAGCGCATTGAGGATAAAAGAAAGATTCATCAAACTGAAATTAACAGGGAAACGTTATGCGTAAACAAAATGAAGGGGAAATTCCTGAGAGATTAACATTTGTGATAACAACCAATTTAATTGAATAAGCAACTATATACGCGCATATGAATCATTATCTCATACACTATCAGGCTGAACGCTACCATTATGTTAAAATAATAATTTTTATTCCAGTTATTACTGTCTATGACAATGATAAATACAATATTCATTATCATTTTCTTGTAATACTATGAAATTTATTCTCGCTTGTATACATCCCGATTTTTTTACTTTGTTCACCTAATCAATCATAGGATAATAAAATTCAACCAAACACTAACACAAAGAATAAAAAATAGAATAGACTATTTATATTTTGTTTTCAAATGACGTTGCTATTTCGTCGAAATGAAGGAAGAAGAAGTGGGGGGATTCCCAGTCATTCTATCGAATCTGTTTGAAAAGTAAAGAAATTGTTATTGGAAATCCTCAGAATAAAACAGAGCTTATAATGATCAGAATATTAGCATAGAAGATGATTCAGTTTTTTATGTCTTTTTCATTAAAGGTGGTTATGTGTTAAATAGTAACCAACTAATCAATGTAGATGAAATGATTACTCATGAGACTGAAGGTGTTGACTATAATTATGGCTATATTTTGATGTTGTTTAAACGTCAAGCGGAAGAAATTGCCATCGGCATAATGTAATATTATAAAGTGGAAATGTTAATTTTACGCTTAACATACAGTGCAGCATTAAGTGTTCACACTGAAAACTAGATAGTTGACAAAGCCAAAGAGTAATTTTTATTGAAACTGTTTTCAATTTGAAATACTGTCACAAATAAATATCTAACTTAGGAGTTATGCTTCACATACTTTTCCACTCTATTTCTATTCTTTTTCATAAAAACCTTTTGATATTGCTTAGGAAGCATGAATTTTAACTATTTATTTTGAAAAAATGTAATATGCTGAAAACCTCACCTGGTTAACTAGTTCACTAGTTACTGGGCTAAACAGGGAAGGTCAAACATAGGGCTAGCAACTCTACCTTGTTAAACCAGTCCAACCGCTAAAGAACTTTCAGAGCACGGAGAAAATATAAAACATAAAAATGAAATAAACAGACGAAATGACGCTGGTTAGTGAAAACCTTCGGGAAGCCGACTGACCGACATGTCTTCTCTTCCTCGATGAAAGCGAAAGTAAACGCTAGAACATGAAATGTCCAAACAATGTTTGAAGCTGACTGGCTGGTAAAGCTGCACAGATTGCAAAAGAGATGAGAAGATATGGGATGGAAGTGCTTAGAATCTGCGAAAGTAAATGGAATGGAAGTGGAATCTCCAAACTTTTAACTGGAGAGCCAGTAATCTACTCCGATATTGTCACCCAGACGACAACCACCAGCACACTGAGAAAACCATTTAGGGACATCACACGACAGGCCAGGCTCTCAAGTGGAACCCAAAGGGGGGACGACGATTTGGGCATCCATGGCGAGGGTGCCATGGAGGAGATCATGTGAGGAAGAAGTGAAAGATTGTCGGCAGTCGTGCAGCCAAGTTGAAAAGAGAGATAGTGGAATGGCTATGTGCTACTGAAGCCCTATGTTACACTAGGAACCCAAGGGAGGTGTAATAATAATAATATGGAGAATAGTTGTACATAAGCCATATTTCGTATTTTAGCTGCATCTAAATATGAAACAGAAGGTACATACATCATGTAATGCAAATAATTACTCAAATGAAAGCTTAGTTTATTCACATATATCGTTCTGGGATTTGTTTTGTTAACAAAGATTTGATATTTGAACATGTAGAATTTGATTAGGCATCAGTGAGTGGAAACTTTATTTCCCCTTATCAAAATATACTCTGTTTGAGTTAATTTACCTCAAAAAATCACACAAAAATTAGGTGTACATATCAGCTGTGTTACTGAATGTTTGGATGGACTGCTTATCTTATTCATTCTGGTTTTTCGCTCTTAAGTAATAAGAAGTCTGAAAATACGTCATCCAGTATGTCCAACGTTTTAACTGACTAAAAGCTTATAGCTCGAGCTAAACCTTTGCGTTCTACATTTCATGAGATATTTAATAGAAGTATGAATTAATTTTCTTTCATATATTTTATTTACTAACTTGCTACTTGAATGCATAAACAAAATCAATCTGCACCTTACAATTAGGACTGATAAGATATCGATATTGTAAGTAGCAGGTAACATATATCCTGGCTAACTCAAGCCATTTGAGATAACTAGTGTAAGAATGGTTTGGCTGGACTGCCCAGATACATGACGACTGGCCTAATATTGCCAACAACAATAGTCAGCCTATGAAACAGATAAGAGTTCCCAAGAAATGAAAAATTATCTTCATACATTACTCAATATCAAATTGCTGTACAAACGTTTGCAGCTTGGATAGTTATGGACCACCGCTTAGGCAGTCAGCTTTCAGTCACTGAATCCTAAGTTCTTAAATTGGCGGCTCGATTGAATTTTGGTCTACCAAAAATATTTCATAAAATATAGTTCATCATATTACTCCTCTTTTTACTTGTTTTATCTATTCAAATGTCAGCTAGTCGTAAAACATACTTTCGCGTATTCTTAAAATGTCTTCAACCTTTCACTAGATAGGTTAAAAACAAAAATGCGAGAAAATGTAACAGCGGGCTACAGTTGGCTCTTGAATGCATGAAATTGCATCATATAACTACTACAGGAACACATAAGTGAAATATCAAATTTTTGCACTTGATGAATGATCCTCCGCCATGAAAATTGCTGGTGCTTTTCTGTTCACCCCATGCGTTTCAACATACAAACCAGATAATGACCTAAAAACTACTGGTTGTTGTGTATTACTGCTATTATTAACATCATGTAACTCCAATGGTTTTTTAATTTGAAAATAGTGTGTGTAAGAAGTAAATTTGTTGAAATATCACAATAAGAATTCCTGAAGAAAGGAAGCTCAAGTGTGGACCTGAAATAATAACGTGAATTAGCCACGTGTTTAGTTGATATCTGGTGAACTTTAATCCTCATAATGGTGTACAATTGGTAACCAAATATTTTTAAGTTCACAAAATAAGTTCAGGTGTAGTGAAATAGAAAGATGCGGTAAAAAATCTACTTTTTTCAACATCTTTTTGTCTATTCCATTGAACAGCTTTTTGAGGTTGCAGCTAAATATTTGCCATTATTAGATGTTTCAAAGGTTTACGCATAATTTTAGTATTCTTTATCATCTGTTCCCCTGAATGTATTACGTTTATTTGCTAGAATTTTTTTAAATAGACAGTGGGGATTGATTATTAATATTTTTTACTCCCCACACTACGAAAAGGTTGGCAATAAAGTGGATACTTCTCAAATAACAACCAATAATCTTTGGGACTGATGAAATTTTTGTCTCCTTAAGAAAAAGGCTTTGGTTACCATGAAACTGTGACACATCAGGGTTGTCAGCTGGTACATGAATGGATAACTGACAAAAAACGTTTACTCCTTGCCTTTCGTCAACAAGATAAGTTCACTGGATATAGGTTAACACAGGAACCCTGGTAAATGCAAGTCATAGGAAATAAGAGAAATATTAATTTATCATATGGAAATTCCTTTTAGCAAGAATGGGAGTAAGTCCCTCTTTTTCAGTCTTGACCGAAAGAAACGGGTGGTTTAGTAAGACAACTATTTTTTCGCGAGCACCAGTTCATTTGCAGGGACTACCAAAAAGGTTGAGCAATAGTTTATCCAAAAAACTAGAAGGATATGAGTTGGTTTAGTAACTCTGAAAGGTGATCAGAAATATTCTTCATCAATAACTACTTCATTTCCCGTGATACGCTTGATTTCAAGATAAAAGTTTTTACGACTTTAAGTTATGCAAAGTTGCTGTAACTTATTTATAGCTTGTGATATATCAATGGGTCGCAAATGATGTACCCGTTTTGTCTTCGATTACCATTTTCCTTTAAATTGTTCTAAAAATTAACATGATTACTAAAAGAACTTTTTGAATTCTGACTAATTAAAGTATGAGTTCTTTTCTGGGGGAATAGATGTAAGAAACATTTCTGTAACTTGAATTTAATTCACCCACACGAAACCGAATTCATTGATATTTCGTTGAAGGATATGTAAAACCTTTAAATTCAAACATTTAAAACCTGCAAAAGTAATGAGGCACATGATATATGACCATTAAAACTCTCTAAAAGTGACTGACCATTTATGACTGAACAGGTTTCATGACTAGTAAAATAATTGGTATGTTTCATCCCATAATAAAATTTCGTCAAATAAAGTTTCCATATATTCCAAGAACTGAAGTTCGTTTTCAACAGCTTGGCTTGAAAATAAGGGATTATATCTAAACTACACATCCTGTTTTGATGATCAGAAAAAGATCTAGATAACAAACATGAAACTTTGAATTTTCATTCGAAAATATTCAAGAAATACTCTTGATATATATGAAAGAGCTCAAATAGAGTTTGATACTAAATGATTTTGGTAAACTTAAATTTCAGGCCCTTTTGCTCATGAGTAATCTTATTTGTTTATTTAGCTGTAAGTGAATTGAAATCAGATATTCTTGGAATGCAAAAACGTGACCTGAAAATTGTACGCATCGTTTCCGTCACTATTTATTGCGCATTAAAACTTTTGGAATCTCATAAACATATGAGTTTGTGTACCATGCACACTCATCAGGATATATGTGAAGTAAAATAAAATTTGCAGTTAACTATTTCACTTCGTGCTTTAATCTTCACGTAACAGGTATGATGCCTATTGCTTCACACTTCGCAGCTTCTCAGCGTTTTTTGAAGGTGCGAAAGTAGCAGAGACAGGTTAAGTCTTTGAATAATGATCATTGAATTTCCTCCTAATAATATACTTGATAACGACTGATCATCCAAAAATACTTTATCTTTGTGTTATGCCTACAAGTTTTATTATTATTACACATGCACATAGTCGTCGCATTCGAGATTAATTAAATACTGCTGTACAATACAGAAAAAGTGATTTGCATTTTCATCACATGCATATTTACATGAAATATTATTTCATTTTTAGGTGTGGCCTGATCTTACAACCCAAACTGAATATTATTTAGAAACAGGAGGATTTTGGACTATGCTTGCGTGAGACGGATAAAATCGAAGTAAAATTGGTGCCTACATATCTATGTATCTACGTATATAAAAGGAATAGACATGATTACTTGGTATGGCGTTTGTAAATGTTTCTTAAAAAACGAAGTTTACAGTACAACCCTCTTTCCTACGAGTTAGAAGAGCTAAGACAAATCAGTGATGATTTGTGTTTAGTTTATGATGAAAACCAAGTAGTTTTATGAAAAAAGTGCATATATATATACATATATTAAGAAAATTATGTCCATGAACTGGTGATAACACTGATTATAACTTGAATATAAAAACATGGGTATTGTAAAGTTATATTTATGTTAAACTGACCACACCCTGCACACAGACTTAATAAGTATGAGAATTTGAAATTCACAGAATTTAGACAGAGGTACTTAATTATCAGCTAATGATGGTATGTTGAACATCAATTCGGGATTCGGTTAACATAGCAAAAGATGATGAGATTAAAATAATGAAGGTAATAAGCAACAGATGACGAGAAAATGGAATAACCAGGATCAAAGT